CGGGGTCCTGCAGCCAGGCTGGGTGGGGTCAGAGCCAGGGACCCTGAGGGACGGGGAAGGTGGCCACCTGGGCTACAAGCTTTCTCTGCCTTCCTCAGTTTCCCCGAAGTCCCCTTGTCCCCAGGAGCTGCAAGAACGGGCTTTCTGTTGGTCCCTGCAGATGGCGCCCAAGACTGGGTCTGGCGGGCTGCTGGCCGTGGTCAGCCTGGCGGGACCCACGGGGCCATGGCCGCCTCTGTGCCCCCTGGGGTCCCTCCGCCCCCTCGCCCTCTCAGGACTCCGTCTCCCGTCCACACCGCAGGCCCCGGCTTGTCACCGAGCACCCTGGAGCCAGTTGGCGTCCACTCTGATGACCAGGTCACCTGGTGGGCCCCAGTCCTGGCTTGTGCCTCAGTTTCCCCATCCGGGAAATCCCTATTGCTGTTGTCTGCTCAGTGACAAATCTGGTCTGTCTGTCCGCGTTCTGCTCCAGCATTGGGGACGGAGGGACAAAATGACCGGTCCGGGGTCACCCCGGCCGCCCCGAGCTGTCAGGGACAGAGTCGCCCGGGTGGGGACAGAGAACCGGCCGGTCCCGGTTCTGGTTCCGCCTCAGCCCGCTGTGTGACTCTAGGACAGTCACGTCCCTCTCTGGGCCGAGGTGGTGAGCGGAGGCCTTGGGCGGAGGCCGAGGTCCATCTGCAGGTGACCGTCCTCAGAACCACTCTGAGAGGCCCGGCCACCCCGGCCAAGTGGGAGTTCTGGGGCCACCGGACACCTTGGGGACTGACCCAGCCGTGCGGGGACCAAGGGTTTGCGCACGCTGGACGCTGTCACCGCGGGACAACATGGTTTCCAGGCGTTTCCTTTCCTTTCTTGGCGGCACTGGGATTCGAACTCGGCCTGGCGCTCACTAGGTGGCTGCTCCCCACGCAAGCCGCGTCCAGCGCCTCTCGCCACAGATGACCTTCGGATGGGGTCTCACCTTTGTGCCCAGGCTGGCCGCGACCCGCGACCCCTGCCTTGGCCTCCCTGGACAGCGGAGGGCTTGGGTATCCAGCAGGCGCTCACAGGTGTCCTGGGGGAAGCTTGGGGGTCACAGGAGAGGCAAGGTCACATACGAGGTCATCCGGCTTCAGTGCCCTCCCTGCTCGACCTTTGACCCTGGACGTGACTCCCCACAGGGCCTCGGCCAGGTCCTTGTCTCTGGGCCTCAGTTTCCCCTGTACAAGGTGAGGCCTGTCCACCTTCCCCGCCCCGCTGCCGAGCTCAGGCTCCATGGGCTCCGTCCACAGGAGCCCAGAGACGGCCAGCGACTGACCCAAGGCCACACAGCCGGAGCCGGACAGCGCCATGTTCACGCCCTGGCCTAAGGCCGTCCTTGACATGGCCTCTGGGGACAGATCCCGCTGGCTTGGGTCAGTGCGGTCCAGCACGGCCACCCCGGCCCCGATGGCCTCTGCGGCAGAGCCCCCAGCAGAGCCGGGACGCCAGTGAAATTGATTTATCGGAGCAGGACGGTGTCGATCAATGAATGTCCCTCGTCCCCGCTGCCCGCGCCTGGCTGAGTGACCGAGGACAGGGACAGCGGCCGTGTGAAAGGCACGTCGTCACGAGAAGTCAGAAAGGCCGGGACGCCATCTTTACTTCCTCGGCAGAGGCTGAGCAGGGTAGATGTGGCAGAAGGGACTTGGCGCCAGCCTCGCGCTGCGTCCTGTCCCCGTGGTCCCCGTCCCTGTCCCTGTGGCCCCGTGCGGGAGCGGTGAGCGCGCGCGTGGGGACACAGGCTTGCACAACTGCGCATGTGGTCAAGATGCACCACAGCCGGGCATGGCGGTGCACGCCTGCAATCCCAGCCCCCGGGAGGCGGAGGCTGGAGGATTGAGAGTTCGAGGCCAGCCTGGGTTACAAAGAGAGACCCTACCTCAAAAACCACCGCTGCCCACCCCTGCCCGTACCCTGGATGCCCCACGGTGCCTGGAGAGCAGCAGCTCTGTCCTCAGCCAGGGAGGCCCACCCCCTTCTCTCTGCCTAACGAACTCCTGCCCGCCTGCTAGAACCCTCTTGCTGAACCCCACCTGCCGCCCCAGGTCATGCAATGCCTCCCCCAGTTCTGCTCAACCCCTTCTTTCCTGCCAGCGACCCCCCCTTCCTAAATGTCCCCCCCCGTCCCTCTGCAATGGGGACACCAGGTGTGGTCAGGACACACTAGACTCTCAATTGTCAGGAAGTTCAGCTCATTTCATCCCCAAGGTCCTTTCCATGGCCGTTCACTCCCCGAGAACCACGTCCACTAGGGACAGGTGGCCCTGAGCCTGGGGCCACACCAGCCCCCAGCTCTGAGGACCATGGCAGGGACCGACCCGTGCTGGGATTACAGGCGTGAGCTGCCATGCCTGCCCCCCCCCCCGTGCGACAGTAACTCGTGGTGTCACCACAGAGGACCAGGGTGGCCACCCCTGCTGGACAGCGTGTCTGCGTGTGGCAGGTGGCTGTGGGGGGTCTGTGCAGACGGGCTGTGACAGGAGATGAAATGACACGGGAGAAGGCGGCACGGGTGGGGCCGGGTGCAGACGCCTGGACGAGGAGGACAGTCCGGATGGTGGGGAGCCCCCTCCCCGCTCCTCCCCTCCACCTGCTCGAGGTGCGAGAGAGCCAGCCTGGCCAAGCCTGGCCCTCCACTCTGGCCACTGGGGTTTGATGAGTGACTAACTGAGCACAGAATGAGGGGCAGGTGTGGGCCAGGGAGGGAGAGGTCCTGGGCCGTCCAGAGCCCACTGGGGGTGACTGACCAAATCTTATGGCAGCCGTTCGCCTCTGGGCCCAGACCCTGGGGAGGTGACTGTCCCCCACCTGACATGGCACGTGTGGCTCTGAGGGACGTCAGAACTCAGTTCACCTGCTCAGTGTCCACCCCCCGCCCTGTCCCCTGACAGGAGGAGCCTGGGGCCGATCGACTGTACGGCCTTGCGCAAGTCCGTCTACCCGCGCCTCAGTTTCCCCACCTGCGAAGGGAGGAGTGTAAGGAGAACTTGGGGTCCCCCAGGGCTGAGGCTGAGGGCCTCAGAGGGGGCAAAGGTCAGGCCTCCTGAGGGAGGGACAGAGCTGCCCTTCCTCACCAGAGGACTGCTGGCCACGCTGCAGCCACCGCGTTCCCACCCTGCCTGGCCACGGGGCCGGGTTGGGGGCGGTGCAGGACTGGAACCTGGGACGTCCCCTGCCCGGTCCTCGGAGCCAGGGTCTGTCCCCGTCCGTCCCCCTGTGGTGCAGGCCAGCCCCGTCCGATGGAGGAGTGGACAGAGGGAGCTGACCACCACGCTGGGGCCATGGGAGGGCCCTGTGGAGGGCGTGGGGCACAGGAGGGACAGCGTGGCCGTGGGTGGACACGGCGGGAGGACATGTGTGCAGAGCCGCGGGCGCCTGGTGACTTTAATCCTGCTCAACCGACTTTGGGTTATTTTGAGCGAGAGATTAAGGCTGATTACGCTGGGGGGGGAGAGAGAGAGCGAGAGAGAGCGAGGGGCTCTCAGGAGGCCGAGGGACAGAAGCCACGGCCTTGGCGCAGGTTCCCGGCCATGGTGAAGCCCAAAGCCCTTCCCAGACCTTGTGGAGGTCACGTCCACGGCCGGCCTGCGCGGCCATCTTCTCTTCCTTGGGGACTTGGGGAGCCCTGGGGCCGCCGGCCTCCCCCCCTTTAGATCGGGGCTCCCCCGCGCCGTGTCCCATTTTGTGTCATTTTGTTTTGTTCTCATCCCAGCCTCCTTAGCAGGCGTCCATATTGGTGACAGCGTTCAGCTGGCCGCCAGCCTGGCCGTGGGACAGTGACAGGGCCGCTGTAAATCCAGACGCTAACAAGCAAGGGTCTCCCTCCTGCGGGGGACACGGGGGACAGGAGGTGTCTGGGGTCACAAGAGGGGACGGCAGGACCCCAGCTGGTGCCACTGTGTGGGGTGGGCCTGGCCCCGTGCGCCGTCCCACAAGGCGTCAGGAGGGACACTGAGCCCTCGGCGTGAGCAGGGCCGGGGTGGACGGGCGGCCTCAGGTGGGGGACGCAGGGAGAGGGGTCCCTGCGAGGCCATGCGAAGCCAGGGGACTTCTTGGTAGAATTGGCTTCCCCAACACGGGACAGGGACGGCCCCAAGTCCTGGGCACCCGCCTGGTTCATCTGGGGAAACTGAGGCTCCGTGTGGCAGAGCGGGCACACCGAGGCCTGGGAGGTGACCTGAGCCCTGGCTGGACAATTCCTGTGTCTGCCAAGGCTGGACACTCAGGGAAGGACACTCAGCCCAGGCCTGGGACGCTGAGGGGGACTCGTGGACGCCCCCTTGGTGCTGTGCCCACCACCACTTCTGGGCCCAGAAATGTCATTAGCTCCCCGGGTGGGGGGGCGCAGGGTCCATCCGGTCACTCAGGTGCGTCCTGGACACAGCCTCTTCTTGTACGCCGAGTGACTTTGGGTCTCGTCTGCCCGGGACCGCACAGGCCACGTGCACCGCTGGCCGTGAAGAGGACGTTGTGTCCCCTTGGCAGACGAGGACAGAGATTGGGGGAGATGTCGGCCTTTCTGGGTCACTTCGGGCGCCCTGGGCTCTGAGGTCCCTGTGTGAGGGTGTCCCCAGTTTTACAGCAAAAGCTGCGGGGGGGGGGTGGTGGTCACTTTGTCCCTGTGGCCTTCAGTGTGGCACCTGTGACCGGCTGTCTTTCCTTTTTTTGTCTCACGCCAGGATCGCCTGTGGACGGAGGGACGGCGTTTGCCAGGACAGGACACGCAGGCCCATGGGGAAGGAGGCCGCGGCCCCTGCAGGACCCGGACGGAAAACGGGGGGCTGCGAACCGTGAGGGGGGGGGTCCTCCCTCCCAGCACCCGCTGCCCGCGGCCATGCGGCCGGGCGCAGGACGCCCCTGAGAGCGCGGCCAGCTCCCCGTCCCGCCCGCCGCCCCTTCCGGCTGGGGGAGGCCACGCGGTCCCAGTCCCCTCCTTGGGACAAGGCTGACCGGGGCGTCCCTCGAGGCCCGTCTCGATGGCCGGGCGCGGGTGGAGCCTGCTGTGGGCGTGCGTGGCGGCGGCCACCCTGCTGCACGCGGGCGGGGTGGCCCAGGGCGACTGCTGGCTGATCGAGGGGGACAAGGGGTTCGTGTGGCTGGCCATCTGCAGCCAGAACCAGCCGCCCTACGAGGCCATCCCGCAGCAGATGAACGCCACCATCGTGGACCTGCGTCTGAACGAGAACCGGATCCGGAGCGTGCAGTACGCCTCGCTCAGCCGCTTCGGGAACCTCACGTACCTGAACCTGACCAAGAACGAGATCGGGTACATCGAGGACGGGGCCTTCTCCGGCCAGTTCAACCTGCAGGTGCTGCAGCTGGGCTACAACCGACTGCGCAACCTCACGGAGGGGATGCTGCGGGGGCTGGGCAAGCTGGAGTACCTGTACCTGCAGGCCAACCTCATCGAGGTGGTCATGTCCAGCGCCTTCTGGGAGTGTCCCAACATCGTCAACATCGACCTGTCCATGAACCGCATCCAGCAGCTGGGCAGCGCCACCTTCGCGGGGCTGGCCAAGCTGTCCGTGTGCGAGCTGTACAGCAACCCGTTCTACTGCTCCTGCGAGCTCCTGGGCTTCCTGCGCTGGCTGGCCGCCTTCACCAACGCCACGCAGACGCACGACCGCGTCCAGTGCGAGTCCCCGCCCGTCTACGCCGGCTACTTCCTGCTGGGCCAGGGCCAGCACGGCACCCACAGCATCCTCAGCAAGCTGCAGTCCGTCTGCACCGAGGACTCGTACACTGTCGAGGTGGCCGGGCCTCGCCTGGCGTCCGGCGGCCCTCAGCCCGGACGCTCCCAGCCGCCGCCCCGGCCGCCGCCCCCGCCGCCGCCCCCGCTCCTGCCGGAGGAGCCCAGCGACCCGCCGTGCTCTGAGGACGAATGCTTCTCGGGGGACGGCACCACGCCGCTGGTCACCCTGCCCACGCTGGCCACCCAGGCGGAGGCCAGGCCGCTGATGAAGGTCAAGCAGCTGACCCAGAACTCAGCCACCATCACGGTCCAGCTGCCCAGCCCGTTCAACCGCATGTACACGCTGGAGCACTTCAACAACAGCAAGTCGTCCACCGTGTCCAAGCTGACGCGGGCCCAGGAGGACATCCGGCTGACCAACCTGTACACGCTGACCAACTACACCTACTGCGTGGTGTCCACCAGCTCGGGCACGCACCACAACCACACCTGTCTCACCATCTGCCTGCCCAAGCCGCCCAGCCCGCCGGGCCCCGTGCCCAGCCCGTCCACGGCCACCCACTACATCATGACCACGCTGGGCTGTCTCTTCGGCATGGTGCTCGTGCTGGGCGCCGTCTACTACGGCCTGAGGAAGCGCAGGAGACGGGACGAGGCGCACAAAAAGGCCGCCGCTGTGGCCGCGGGTGGCGGCCTCAAGAAAACCATCGTCGAGCTCAAGTACGGACCCGAGATGGAAGCTCCCGGCCTGGCCCCGCTGTCCCAGGGCCCGCTGCTGGGCCCCGAGGCTGTGGCCCGAATCCCATACCTGCCGGCCGCCGCCAGCGAGGTGGATCAGTACAAGCTGGTGGACAGCGGCGAGACGCCCAAGGCCACCAAAGGTCACTACATGGAGGTTCGTACCGGGGACCCCGCGGAACACAGGGACTGCGAGCTGGGCCGGCCTGGCCCTGACAGCCAGAGCTCGGTGGCCGAGATCTCCACCATCGCCAAGGAGGTGGACAAGGTCAACCAGATCATCAACAACTGCATCGACGCCCTCAAGTCCGAGTCCACGCCCTTCCAGGGCGCCAAGTCCGGAGCCGCGTGCACGGCTGAGCCACAGCTGGTGCTGCTGTCGGAGCCGCTGGCCGCCAAGCATGGCTTCCTGTCCCCCGGGTACAAGGAGGCCTTCGGCCGCGGCCTGCAGAGGCACCACAGCGCGGAGGCCGCCGTGCCCGGGCCTCCGAGGGCCACCGCCTTGTCCAGCGGCTCCACGCGCAGCCCTCGTGCCTTCCGGGCCGAGGCCGCCGCCATCACGGCCACCGCCGTGCACAAAGCCACGGCCTCTGCCACAGAGGCCAAGTACATCGAGAAGAGCTCCCCGGTGCCCGAGGCCATCCTCACTGTGACACCCGCGGCCACCACACTGAGGGCCGAGGCCGAGAAAGGCCGCCCGTACGGCGAGCACCGCCACTCGTACCCTGGCTCCCACCCGGCCGAGCCCCCCGCACCACCGCTGCCTCCGCCCGTCCACGAGGCCCTGGGTGGCCGCAAGGCGTCCATCCTGGAGCCGCTGACCCGGCCACGGCCACGGGACCTGGCCTACTCCCAGCTGTCCCCTCAGTATCACAACCTGAGCTACTCGTCCAGCCCCGAGTACGCCTGCCGGGCCACCCCGAGCCTCTGGGAGCGGCTGAGACTGAACCGCCGGCGACACAAGGATGACGAAGAGGTCATGGCGGCCGGCCACGCCCTCCGCAAGAAAGTCCAGTTCGCCAAAGACGAGGACCTGCACGACATCCTGGACTACTGGAAGGGGGTGTCTGCCCAGCACAAGTCCTGAGTCACGCGCCACGCCGGCCACCCGGTCCCCTCCACCCCACTGGACCAACAGGGACTCACGTTCCACCGCGGCGACCGTGACACACTGACCACGGCACCCAGCTCGTGGACACGCGCGGCAAGGGCGGAGTCGGGGCCTGGGGGACCTCGGGGAGGGCGGGGGGCCGGGGGGCCGGCGGGCGCACGGGTGGATGGTGACCGGTCCACGTCTCGATGCTCGTCTAGCCTGCGCCGCGATGTCACCCCGTCACCTGGCGTGGACACGCCGTCCACGCGCACACGCACGCAGGGGACTCCGGAAAACTGTGTCTTAGGGCGGGGGTGGCGGCCGGGATTTTCACTCATCTTCGGTTTTTCCTCTTCCTCTCTGTTTCCTTCCTTTTTAAAAAAGTCACAAAAGTCAAATTCTCTTCGCCGCGGCCACTGTGGCCCCCGCGCGTGGCCTCCCGGCCAGTGGTTTTCGGTGACTGTTCCGTCTGTCCCTGTGGCCACCACAGAGGGACAGAGTGGACGCAGGTGGCCGAGTGGCCTCTGAAGCCTGCGGCGCGGGACTCGGGGGCAGGGGCCGGCGGGGCGGAGGCTGTGCCTGTGGACGGACAGACGGACGGGTCGGGGTGGCGGGAAGGGTGTGGGCTGGGAAGCACTGTGTGTCCCCACCGTCCCCGTCCCGGTGAACACTGTAGCCGGTTCTGCTGTACAGAAAAAATTTCTATATTTGCAACGTTTGCTGTAAAACGAGAAAGAAAAAAGCAGACTATGCCACTTAAAAAACTGGAAAGGACAAACCCGAACTTCCGTCTGTCGTAGGTTTTGTTACCGCGGCTCTGGGGACAGGGTGGGGGTCTTCTGTGTCCACGGCTGAGCGGTGGCCATGGGTGGGTGGAGGTGACCCATAGGGAGGCTGGTGACCCCAGGTTCGGTGGCTTTGAGGTCCAGAGCTGGCACGGACGGGGCGGGAAGGGGGGGCATCAGAGGGTCACAGATGCAGAGCCCTGGGCGTGCGGGGTCTCGGCGGGGGGACCCCAAGGCCCAGTGCCACCAGGCTCCCCACAGCTGAGGGGTGGACGGGCCTAGGACAGCCAGGGGACCTGGGACAGTGGTGTAGGTCTGTGCATGCCGTGGTTGGAAGGTGTGTCTTTTGGGGGGCTCTGAAATGTTGGGAGACCCCCACGCCTCCACCAGGAGCCGAGACCCCACTCTCACCCCCCAGTGGAGCCCTCCTCACCCCCTGCCCGGCAGCCCCGTCCCGTGCAGAGTCCACGCTGGGCAGCGTTGGCTCGTCCCCCTGCGAGGCTGCCTACTGCTGAGGCCTGGCTCACCCCATTCTCCCCTAGACCCCAGCGAAGATCGAGGCTGGCCAGGGCGACCCCGTCACAGCCCTGTGGTCCCTGCCAGCGTGAGGGGGCCCAGCGGTGCGTCCATCCCAGGAGAGGAGGCCAGGGCTCTGCAGGGAAGGAGCATCTCGCCCTGTCCCCTCCCCCGTGTGGCCCTCGGTGGCTCTCTGGTCTGATGCTGGTGGACGGAAACCTCATGCCCCAATGCCATGCCCTGCCCTCCCCGGGACTCATCCCTTGTACCCCGAAAGGTTCTGGGGCTGAGCTGCCACCCCCTCGCCCAGGGTAACCCCTGCTCCGAGCTTTTTTTTTTTGTTAGACTGGGATTTGAACTCAGGACGTCACTCTTTCAAAGCAGGCGCTCTGTCATGTCCTCAGATGTTTTTGGAGCTGGGGGTCTCGCTTTTTGCCCAGGTCGGCCTGGATCCCGATCCTATTTTATGTTTCCTGCTGTCACGGGGGTGACAGTCACACACCACCATGCCCAGCTTTTCTGTTGAGATGGGGTCTCTTGAACTCCATCCCCCACCCTGGAACCTCAATCCTCCTGATCTCGGTCTCCCAAGACAGACACAAGACGTGAGGCGGCCAGACCTGGACCACGGAGGCCACAGGGTCCTGGGGACTTAGGGGGAGGAAGAGAAGCATGGGGGGACGGGGAGGGAGGAGGAAGGCAGGGAGCGGTCCTCGAGGAGCCACCTCAGTGACGGGACTGACCCCTCTCCTCGTATCTCCTTCCAGCCTAGGGTCAGAAACCCCACACAGCCCCAGGGCCACCTCTGGCTCCCGCGTCCCCTGGGGGCCACAGAACTGCAGACATGGCCTCTCTGCCCTCCTCAGGGGGCTTCCAGCCCAGGTGGCCTCAGTGGCCCCTCCACAGGAAGCCACTACTGGGGATGATGCACCCCGGGCCTCGCCGTTTGACCCGCCAGGCCCCAGGCCAGCCCCTTCCCCAGCTCTGCACCCTCCAGAGGGTCCCAGAGGGCAGCGGGGACCTGATGGCGTCAGCTGCCTGGACAGAATGCTGTGGTCAGGCCCGGGCTGGGGGCGGGGGTAGCCAGGGGCGACCCAGGGCTGGTGGGCAGAGGTCCAGAGAGCAGCCTGCTTTGCGAAGGTCACATAGCCGCTCTGGTCATGGGACAGAAGGTGACCAGGCCTCCTCAGTTGAGGACGTAAAATGGTTTATTTATAGGGGATTGGGAAGAAAGACAGAGAAGAGGGGTGTCAGCCCCATGGGCCAGGCAGCTGGCCAGACATGGCAGGGCTGGAAAGGGACAAAGAGACAGGTGACAGGAGCACCGTGGGGGCCAAGCCAGCACTCAAAGCCGTCCACGGGAGCCACCACCTCCATTCTGCGTGTGTGCCCCACACCTGGCCCCAAACACCACCTCGTCCTTGCTGAAAGAGGCCAGGGTGGAGTTGGCAAGGCAGCAGGAGACATACGCATTCATTAGGCACCTACTGTGTGCAGGGCTCAGTGCCCATCCCTGGGTGGACCCAGGAGTGTCCAGTCCTCGGCTTTCTGGGAGCTCACAGGGGTGGTGGAGAGACACTGGACATGAGGACATGGCCAGCTCTGGGCAGCACAGTGCGTGCGGCTCCAGTAAGGGTGGGAGAACCCAGGAGGGCTTCCTGGGGGTGGTGTTAGGGGGAGGAAAGGGGAAACCATGGATAGGACGGGGTGGAGGCCGATGGTGAACGGCGTCTGGGCTGAGCGTGGGGGAGGATGAAGGAAACATGGCGGAGGGGGCTGGCTCAGAGCTCAAAGTGGCTTCCAGGGGCCGCCCCAGAGAGCAGCTCGTTTGTCTGCAGGATGGTGGCCTCGGACCCCACGGGGACTCGGACCCAGGATCAGCCCTGTGACTGTGCCCAAGTGAGCCCCGGCATCCCAAAGTCTCAGACGCCTGGCGTGCCCAGTGTGGGGTGCGGACCCCATCGCGGCCATGAAAACGGGGCACGGCGAGAGCAGCCACGGAGCAGGCTTTCGCTCACGTGTCCAAAGGTGGCTGCTGGGGACGGGCCTGGGAGGGTGGACCTCTGCCCCACGCGTCTGTCACCCCACGTGGGCATTCGGAACCCACCGTCTTGGAGGCCATTGAGGAATAACTCCACGGACAGCCTAGAGCAAAGTGACAGGAAAGGACGGTCACTGCCCCAGGAGCACGTGGGCACTGGTCTGGACAGGGTGGGATGCAGACCTGGGCACCTGGGCACAGAGGCCAAAAGCAAGGCAGACACACGGCTGTCACCCTGCCAGGCGGGCTGCAGAGCACAAGAGCAGAAAACCTGAGGTGGCCTCCTGAGGTCCCATCTGTCCATCCGCCCGTCCATCCGCCCGTCCACCTGCCCGTCCTTCCATCATCCATCATCCAGCCAGCACTCAATTACAGAGCACCTGCTGTGTGCCACACTGGAGACATCAACAAACCCATCCTCCACCCTGAGGGTGAATCCCCCATTGTCCCCCGAAAGAGGTGACATCCCAAACAGTGTGTCTACAAGGAAGCCACCCACAGCACACGTGGTCCACATGGACAGTGGAGGAGGTGACCTGCCACCAGAGTCAGGGAGGAGAGAGAGGTCCACTGGGCCCTGGAGGGGGAAATCCATGGAGACCACAGCTGGCCAGGACCCCACCCTGACTTCTCCCATGTCCTTCTGGGGTCCCCAAGAGAACGGCAGGCGAGCAGGAGACAGGGAACCCAGCGGTAGTCCCTACAGCTGACAAGGTGGGAGGCAGACAGACAAACGGGAAAGGCCCAGCCCGGGGCTCGAGGCGGCAGCTGCTCCCCGAGGATCCAGGCTGACGGTGTCAAGGCGGAAGCACAGGAGGCCACCACGCTGTCCGGGGACCGAGATCCTCAGTGTCTTGAAGGACAGACGGGAGCTGCAGAGGCCAGGCAGGAAGGGGCCTCCGTCAGGGTCACCCAGGAGTGGAGACCCGGAGCACGGTCCCCTCCGACCCCGAGGACAGACAGGTGTGGCTGGACATCAGAGCCGGGCAGGTGCAGTGGCACACGCCTGTAATCCCAGCTACCTGGGAGGCCGACATCGGGAGGATCACGGTTCAAGACCAGACCCCATCTCCAAAATAACCAGAGCAAAATGGACGGAGGTGCGGCGCAAGTCCAAGTTCAAACCCCAGTCCTGTCAAAAAGGTCGTCCTGCCTGCAGGAACATCTCGTCTGGACATTTTCTTTCCGGTCTCCATGGACACGGATGCTGGTCCCCGCCAGTCACGCGTTCCCTGCTTTTCAGTTTTCAGTCTGACTTCTTGAATCTGTGGATTTATGACTTTCATTAAATACGGGGAATGTTCAGATGTTCTTAACGTTTAGCCATTTGTCCCCGTTACCGTCCCCTCCTTCTTTTTTGTTTTTTGGTGGCACTGGGATTTGAACTCAGGGCCTTGCACTTCCGCGGCCGGCCCTCCACCACTTGAGCCATGGCCCCAGCCCTTTTTTCTGATAGAGCCTCACACTTGTGCCCGGCGCTGGCCGTGGACTGTGATCCTCCTCCCTCCGGTCACGCGCCACCATGCCGATCTCCATGGTCAGCAGCACTGCCTTTTCCACCAGGGGACGGGGCCCCCAGCGCTGTGGACCCGCGGCTGCCGGGACGCAAGGGGAGGACGCGAGACCCCAGGCTCTGGGGTTCGGGCGCCACA